GTGGCCTAACATGCAAAGGAGTTCCTGCTACAAAAAAAGGCCCTGGGTTTTGACAACAAAGTAAACAGAATAAGAAGCAAAAGGTGGGTGTGGCTGGATGACCACACTTCTGGTAACACGGGGGTGTGGTTTAATATGCTAATGAGTTCCTGCTGTTGGGTGTGGCCTATTATGCTAATGAGTTCCTGCTGGGCTTTTTCTACAAAAAAAGCCCTGCTTATGTCTGTCCTGCTTCTAGGGCCCCGTCTCAATGAAACTGATTCCCCGCCCCACCCACCCCACTTTCTCCACTTGGTTTTATAGTCAAGTCCCCGCTCTTACCTGGATGGCCCAGGCTCGCCTGATCTGTTCGGATCTCGGAAGCTAAGCAGGGTCGGCCCAGGTCAGTACTTGGATGAGAGGCCACCCCCGAGGAAGCCCAGGGGTGCTACGCAGAGGTAGGCAACGGCAAAAGTACCTCTGAACGTCTCTGGCCTTGAGAAACCTGCGAGGTCACCATAAGTTGGCTGCAGCTTGACAGCAGAGAGAAAAGAAAGAAGGATTAAGTCCCCAGTTCCCCCTCTGACATTTTGATCCTCGGTTGATTGATCTGCCCTCGATTGATCTGCCCTTATCTTGCCATCGGTTTGGCAGGAACTCAGCAGGGCGGCTGTCTTCGTGGCCTCATCCTTGATGTGGTGCGCCCGTAAGTGGAACTCGAGCCGGGTTATGTACGAGTCCCAGTCTTCCAGGACCGGTTCGAACGCCTCGAACTTGGCGCTGGCTGCCATTCCTCTTGCCGGTTCTGCCGGTGGTTTGGCAGGGTGCTGTTCTGCTAGCGGCGGAGCCGCAGCTGGTTCTGTTTCGTCTGCCATGGTGGTCAGCGGGGCTGCCTACCCGCTATAGCACATCCTCGTCGCCAATGTTAGGTATGACACTTAAAGCAGCATTCCATAAAGTGATTCAGCTTTAATGGTTAGTGATTTCAACAGCTCAGAACAGATCAGAACAGACAACAACACATAGAGCAACAGGCTCTTATTTAAACAGTCCGGCTAGCACAGCCACACACCCCATTTGTGGTAACGACCAATAGCTTTACAGAGAGAACGACCAATGAGCAGCCAATCAGGCATTGCCCTTTTGGATACCAGCTTGTCTATGGGGATGTAATCCAAGCTCAGGACATAACTGATCTGCCCTCGATTGATCTGCCCTTATCTTGCCATCGGTTCGGCAGATGGGTGGCTCTGTACTCCGGAAGGCTGCGCTCCTTCCTGGCCTCCCCAGCCGGATGGCTTCCTGCCCAGAGTCCAAAGGGACACAGGGGTGTGAGTCAGTGTTCCCTCTAAGCTGAGTCAGTGTGAGCTAGCTCACAGTTTTTTTAGCCTCCAGCTCACCGGATTTTGTCTCAGCTCAGGAAGGAGGGCTCCAGAGCAAACTGATTGATGCAGTAGCCAAATCGCTCGCTCACCACTTTAATGCCAGGAGCTCACAAAGTAAAATTTTGCTCACAAGACTCCACAGCTAAGAGGGAGCATTGGTGTGAGTTAGATCCCCTAGACTGGCAGGGTCCACCGCTCCCCTCTCGACTGCAGACTGGGCTGCCCTGTTGGAAAGGGGGATGCAAGAAGAGAAGAAGAAGAGGAGATTGGATTTCTAGAAGAGATTGGGTTGGATTGACACTCCGCCCTTCCCGAAGGAGTCTCGGAGCAGCTTACAATCTCCTTTCCCTTCCCCTCCCCACAACAGACACCCCGTGAAGCAGGCGGGGCTGAGAGAGCTCTTTTGAGAACTGCCCTTGAGAGAACTTGTGACTGACCCACCGTCACACCTGCAGCTGCATGTGGAGGAGTGGGGAGTCAAACCTGGTTCGCCCAGATTAGAGTCCACGCTCTTGACCACTATACCAAATTGGTTTTCTGAGCCAGAGGAGGGCAGGTTTTAGGGAGTGGAGAGACCTCTGCAGGGTATCATGCTGTGGTCATCTGGAGATGTTGTAATAGTGGGAGATCTCCTGCTGCTACCTGGAGTTTGGCAACTCTACCTTTGTGAGAGTCAGGCCTGCACATGAAACACACAGTCCCCCCCCCCCCGTTGGTTCCTCCACGTTTGCTGTTCGTACTCAGCTGCCCCTCTTATGCAAAATGCCGTGGGGCTCTCGTCACCAAAGCCCCCCGAACCCACGAGCATGTTCTGTGTGCGCGCCACCAGTGGGCCCAAGCAATACAGCTCAAAATCACACCCCCTCTCGTCTGAGTGGTGGGTGTTTCGTCTGGAGTCTGCAGAATGCCTTGGAGGGCTCTGATTGGCTGCAGACGTACATAAGAACAGAAGAGAAGCTATGTTGGGTCAGGCCAATGGCCCATCCGGCACAACACTCCGTGGCACACAGTAGCCAAAACCCAGGTGCCATCAGGAGGTCCACCAGCAGGGTCAGAACTCCAGAAGCCCTCCCACTGTTGCCCCCCTCCCCAAGCACCAAGAAGACAGAGCATCACTGCCCCAGACATAAGAACATAAGAGAAGCCATGTTGGGTCAGGCCAATGGCCCATCCTGCCCAGCACTCTGTGGTTCACAGTGGTCAAAACCTGGGTGCCACCATGAGTTCAACCAGGGTAGTTGGTATCCTGAACTACACCCTTGCTTTGGGGTGCTGTGGGGGGAGGTACTTGAGGGTGTCCCTCACATCGGCCTCTGTTGGTTATTTAAGATTTACACCTGGGTTTGGGGTGAACAAATGTTGCCCTGGGCTAGAGAGGCCTGGGGAGCCGGTTCGGCCTAGCTCCTGCCCTGGCCTTCTCTCGGTGCTAACCCAGTTCTCATTTGGTGGAGTGGTTCCAGCAGTGTGGGAAGGATATGCCGTCGCAGGGCTTAGTGGCTACGCTCTTTAGAGACGGGGCTTAAGAGAGCGCTGTTAGGATCTTAGCCTGGAAAGTGCCACATGACCGTTACTAAGATATATACAGAGCTATACCGAGTGTCCAGCTCGTGTCATGAACATTTATATTTATTTATTTATTTATTTATTTGATTTTTATCCCGCCCTCCCGCCGAAGCGGCTCAGGGCGGCTTACAACAATAAAACAACTCATCTAAAACCAAATTATACAAACATTAAAACCGCAATTTACACATTACACATTACGTCAGGAATCCCTTTGACGACCCTGTAAGGTAGGCCAGGCTCTGCATCCTCATCCCGTAGTTACTCGGTGAGCTGAGGGGTGTGGAAAGGCAGGGATTTGAACCCGAGGCTGGTCATGCGCTTCACCCCCAGTAAATAATTGATGAAATGCTTCCCTCTGGATATCTCCTGTGGATCTTCTTTTCCCCTGTGGTCTCTGTAGGTCGACGAAGAAGGGAACTGTCCGGCTGGGCAACTGTGCCTGGACCCTCGCACCAACAATTCGGCGGTGCTGGACGCCCTCTTTGACGAGCTGAACTCTGAGAATGGGTCCGTGCCCATCGAGTACAAGAAATGTTGCTACGGCTACTGCATCGACCTTCTGGAGAAGTTGGCGGAGGACCTGCCCTTCGATTTTGACCTCTACATCGTGGGGGACGGGAAGTACGGGGCGTGGAAGAACGGCCGTTGGACTGGGCTGGTGGGAGACCTACTGAGTGGCACGGCCCACATGGCTGTGACGTCTTTCAGCATCAACTCAGCCCGTAGCCAAGTGATAGACTTCACCAGCCCCTTCTTCTCCACCAGCTTGGGCATCCTGGTGAGGATCAGGGACACGGCGTCACCCATCGGGGCCTTCATGTGGCCGCTCCACTGGACCATGTGGGTGGGCATCTTCGTGGCGCTTCACCTGACCGCCCTCTTCCTCACCCTCTACGAGTGGAAGAGCCCTTATGGGATGACCCCCCATGGCCGTAACCGCATGAAGATCTTCTCCTACTCCTCGGCCCTCAACCTGTGCTACGCGATCCTCTTTGGGCGCACCGTCTCCAGCAAGACGCCCAAGTGCTGGACCGGCCGCTTCCTCATGAACCTTTGGGCTATCTTCTGCCTCCTGGTCCTCTCAAGCTATACGGCCAACCTGGCTGCGGTCATGGTGGGCGAGAAGACATTTGAGGAGCTCTCGGGCATTCATGACCCCAAGGTCAGGACAGTAGAATTTCTGTGGTACTAACGCCCTTTCCCCTTGGCTTCTCTTTCTTCATCCTTCCTTCCAGAACCTTCTAGAATCTTCTTCCTTGCCTCTGCCCCCCTCCCCTTTAGCTCTAATTATGACATTGGACCCTCTACACCCTTTCCAGCCATAAGTACAAAACTGTGTTCCCTCAGCCAAATCGCTCTCATTTCTCTGATGGGTATCCTTCCTTCCAGAACCTTCTAGAACCTTCTTCCTTGCCTCTGCCCCCCTCCCCTTTAGCTCTAATTATGACATTGGACCCTCTACACCCTTTCCAGCCATAAGTACAAAACTGTGTTCCCTCAGCCAAATCGCTCTCATTTCTCTGATGGGTCCCACAGTGCCTTTCAACGTTCGTTGCTTACAGTTGACCCTTTCAGCAGCTAATTTCTTCTGGGACGTCCCAGAAACGCTTTTGTTTTGAAATGTGGTGTTGGATGAGAGTGAGGAATTTCACATTACCCTTTTTAACCCGTTTTGAAGCCGTTTTTGATCCGTCATGGAGTAAACCGGTATAGGGCTGCCATTTCACACATGGCTTCCCCCTTCCAGTAAAGAGCTGGATCTGAAGCGGTTTGCCATTTCAGACTGCACAGCTTTTTCCCGCTTTCCCCCCGCCGTTTTTCGCCCGTGCGGGTGATCTCCAGCTTTTTTTTTTAACATTCGCTTCAGAGCGCTATAGCACTATAACAAAACACTCCAGGCATTTCAATGGGGTTGGTGTAATGCTGTTCCATTATAGCGCTATAACGCTATAAAGTGAACGTTCCCCCCCCAAAAAAGCCAGAGATCGCCCGTGCGGGCGAAAAACGGCAGGAAAAAGTGCATCGGAACCGGGAGAGGAAACTGAGGAGTACTTGGAAGCGGTTGACAGGTAAAACACTTCAGCCCCATTTCCTAAACGGGACAGAAGCGTTTGTGTCTGAAATTACAAATATATTCCGGTAGGGAACCGGTTCTAAAACGGTTCTGTCTGAAATGACAGACCAGAAACTGTTTGGGAACCGTTCCTCTTCCAGATTATATCGTCTGTCTGAAATTCCTCAGTTTTACGGATACTGCGGGCCGCTAAAGAGACAAATAAGTGTGTTCTAGATCAAATCGAGCCTGAACTCTTCCTAGAAGCTAAAATTACAAAACTGAGGCTATCATACTTTGGTCACATGATGCGAAGACAATGGTCACTGAAAAAGGCAGTAACGCTAGGGAAATCTGAGGGCGGCAAGAAAAGATGATGAAGAAGAAGAGATGGGATTTATATACCCCGCCCTTCTCAGAGTGTGGCTTGCCATCTCTTCTCCCTTCCCCTCCCCACAACGGACACCCTGTGAGGCAGGCGGGGCTGAGAGAGCTCTTTTGAGGACTGTTCCTGAGAGAACAGCTCCGAGAGAACTTGTGAGTGACCCAAGGTCACACCAGCAAGCTGCATGTGGAGGAGTGGGGAATCGAACCCGGTTCTCCCAGCTTAGATGAGATGGGTTGACTCAACAAAGGAAGCCAAAGCCCTCAGTTTGCAAGAGCTGAGCAAGGCTGTTCATCGTAGGATGTTTGGGAGGTCATTAATTAGTAGAGTCGCCGTAAGTCAGAAGCAATTTGACAGCCCTTAGTACACAAGAATTCAGCTGATGGTTGGGGGAGGCTGTGGGCCCCCAATCCCTGTTCCCCCCTCCCCCATACCCCCCTCCCATCTGTCTTTATTGTTGTGTTCTTCGTCTCGTTCACTCTCTTATGACCATAAATCTTAAAAAGTATTTTCAGTGTAAGAGAAATTACTTTTGGAAAAGACAAATGTTGCAATTCGTCTCTTTTCTGCAGCTGCACCATCCGTCCCAGGGTTTCCGCTTCGGCACAGTCTGGGAGAGCAGCGCCGAGGAATATATCAAGAAGAGTTTCCCAGACATGCACGAGTACATGAGACGGCACAGCGTCCCTACCACCCCTGCCGGGATAACCATGCTCAAGTGAGTTTGGTTCCGCTGGGGGTGGGGTGTGTGTGTGATAAGATGCAGGAGACGCAGGGGTCGTTTCGTAGAAAAAGAGGTGCAGGAGCTCATTAGCATAACTCATTAGCATGACTTATTTGCATATGCCACACCCCCTGACGTCACCGGAAGTGTGTCAGAAGGCAACACCCACTGCTCAGGCTCCACTGGACTGTTTTGGATTGCTAGCTATTGGGGGGAACGGGGAACGTGCAGATCTGTCCTCGCAGAGGAGGGAGAGCTTGTACCTGAATAAAACTTGGTCTTAAAGGTGCCACTGGACTGTTTTGGGCCGGGGGGGGATTCTGCAGCTTAACTGGCTGCTTCTTGCTCTGACTGAGGGCTGCTGGGAGCAGGAGGTGGGGCTTGTTGCATGTGCCCGCCCCCTGGGCTCTTTACTGCCGGAGTGCCGCTCCTGTGCGCTCCTGCAGGAAATGACCCCTGAGGAGACGTAACATTTTCAGAACAGTAAGATCCGTCTTGACTTATCAAGACAGGCGTCGTGTTTTCCGGCAGCGAGATCAGTCCAGGAAACTGGAAGACAAATATAATATTTTCAACACAACAAAGTCAGCCTCGACTCGTAAACGCAGATGCGGTATTTTCAAGCAATGGGGATTTTATTTTTATTTTTTTAATTTTTCATTTTACGTTGCTCCAGCGCAGGGGTCCCCAACCTTTTAGAGCCCGTGGGCGCGTTTGGAATTTTGACAGGGGCCGTGAGGGCCAACCCAAAATGGCTGCCACAAGGGGCTGGAACCAAACCTAAAATGGCTGCCACAAGGGGCTGGAACCAAACCCAAAATGGCTGCCAGTGCAACAAGGGGGTGAAACAAAACCCAAAATGGCTGCCACAAGGGGGTGGAACCAAACCCAAAATGGCTCCCACAAAGGGGTGGAACCAAACCCAAAATGGCTGCCGCAAAGAGGTGGAACCAAAACCAAAATGGCTGCCACAGGAGCCGAGCTGAATTAATACCTCCCTCCTCATACTTCCTAGGGAGAAGGGAAGCCTGAAGGGGAGACAGAAGCACACACTGACTAAGGAAAGCCCCGGTGCTTACCAGGTTCTCCGCTGGAAAACCGCTGCTGGAAGGAAGACCTGAAGGGGAAATGGAACCACACACACTGACTAAGGAAGAAGATGATATTGGATTTGTGCCCCGCCCTTCACTACCTGAAGGAGTCTCGGAGCGGCTTACAATCCCCTTTCCCTTCCCCTCCCCACAACAGACACCCTGTGGAGTAGGTGGGGCTGAGAGAGCTCTTTCAAGGACTGCTCCTGAGACAACAGCTCTGAGAGAACTTGTGACTGACCCAAAGTCACAACAGCAGCTGTATGTGGAGGACTGGGGTATCAAACCCGGTCCTCCCAGATTAGAGTCTGCGCTCCTAACCACTACACCGAACTGGAAAGCTCAGTTGCTTTCCAGATTCTTTGCTGGAAAACCTCTGCTGGAAGGAAAGGGGAAACAGACCCACCCACTGATTTAGGAAAGCCCAGGGGCTTACCAAGCCTCTGCTGGAATAAAGGCAGCCAGTTAAAAGGCCTGCGTTACAATGAGCCCACCCACTTTCCGAAAAGCTTGGTGGGCACCAAGGGAAGTATTGGCGGGCATCATGGCGGCCGCAGGCACCACCCTGGAGAGCCCCGGCTTATAGTCCACCGAGCCTCAGTGCAGATTACACAGTGTAAATTAGAGCAGTGAATAGGATGATACATCCAATAAGCTGTCTGGCAGAACTAAGATTGCAGAGGTTTGAAACCGAGCTGTTGTCTGAACAAAGCATAGGTGTTAAACATGACGGGTTATACGATGCAGAACACAGTGTTTACATCAGTAGAAACATTTTCCTGGAGCAGTGCATTGCCTTGGAACGTCATGTTCTGACAGCCAGTTTGGTGTAGTGGTTAGGAGCACAGACTCTAGTGTGGGAGAACCAGGTTTGAGTCCTCACGCCTCCACGTGCAGCTGCTGGTGAGACCTTGGTTCAGTCACAAGCCGTTCTCTCAGGAGCAGTTCTCGAAAGAGCTCTCTCAGCCCCGCCTACCCTACAGGGTGTCTGTTGTGGGGAGGGGAGGGGAAAGGAGATTGTAAGCCGCTCTGACTCTCCTTCTCCTTCTTCTTCTTTTTCCTTCACCTCCTCCTCCTCTTCTTCCTCCTCTTCTCCTTCTTCTTCCTCCTCTTCTCCTTCTTCTTCCTCCTCTTCTCCTTCTTCTTCCTCCTCTTCTCCTTCTTCTTCCTCCTCTTCTCCTTCTTCTTCCTCCTCTTCTCCTTCTTCTTCCTCCTCTTCTCCTTCTTCTTCCTCCTCTTCTCCTTCTTCTTCCTCCTCTTCTCCTTCTTCTTCCTCCTCTTCTCCTTCTTCTTCCTCCTCTTCTCCTTCTTCTTCCTCCTCTTCTCCTTCTTCTTCCTCCTCTTCTCCTTCTTCTTCCTCCTCTTCTCCTTCTTCTTCCTCCTCTTCTCCTTCTTCCTTCACCTCCTCCTCCTCCTCCTCCTCTTCTTCCTCCTCTTCTCCTTCTTCCTTCACCTCCTCCTCCTCCTCCTCCTCTTCTTCCTCCTCTTCTCCTTCTTCCTTCACCTCCTCCTCCTCCTCCTCCTCTTCTTCCTCCTCTTCTCCTTCTTCTTCCTTCACCTCCTCCTCCTCCTCCTCGTCTTAGCCCTGAGTTGTATAGCAGCTCCAGTTTGGCACAGTCCATCTTAGCTGGGCTGCCAAGAAGCTACAGGATGTGGAGCGTAGATTGGAGCTGTTGGACAGCTCAGGTTCAGCAAGGCGTGTCTTACTAGCCGTTGTAACCTGCAGTCTTCTTGTTCTCCCTGCCGGCAGGACCAACCCTCCCAAGCTGAACGCCTTCATCATGGACAAGTCTTTGTTGGACTACGAGGTCTCCATTGATTCAGACTGCAAACTGCTGACGGTGGGGAAGCCGTTTGCGATTGAAGGTATGAAAAGGGCCCAGGGGAAATTCCGGGAAGGAAGGCCGTGGGTTTAACACAGAAACGCAGAGAGAAACGAGGCAGCAGATGCAGAGGAGAAGTTTGGTTTTGATTTGCAGGATCCTTGATCCGAGCTGTGCGGCCATGGATGTTTTTAGCTGCATTTATTTTAGATGAATTCCCCACCCCCTTCATTCGGCTACCCAAAGAACATTCCGGGATACGAGCCAGCCCCTCAAATGGTGTCTGTGCGCGTGTGTGTACACGCAAGGATCGCTGGTTCAGTTTTCACAGGGCCCAGACCAGTGTGTCGTGCAGTTTGCGCTCCACCGTGCGGATTTCAGCCCGGCCAGTGCACCACCAGGAAGTTGAAATGTCCTGGTTTTGCTTCCTCCCACGGACTCCAAAAATGGTTGTGGGTGGGGGAGGTGGCCAGCAACTGGGAAGCCCATAATCCTGTGATCTGGTGAGCTGCATTTGGTTGGAGAGTCACAGGTTGAATCAGTCTCACAGGGCTTGCCGCGAGGGTCACGGACAAGGGAGTCAATTGAGTCTTACGCGGGAGACCAGCAGGAAAACCTGAGGGGTGGCAAGAGGGAGCCCCAGAGAAACTCAAACAAGGGCGGTCGAATGAGCAGGGAAAACCTTTTCTCTTTTTCCTGTAACAGTAGACCTCGGGGATACCCAGTGAAGTTCAAATCCAGAAGCTGCAGGTGGTGCAAAATGCGGCAGCCCAGCTGCTGATGGGTCTCTCTATACGAGAGCACATCCAGCCTGTGCTGAAGGCACTGCACTGGCTGCCGATAGCATACCGGATTCTTTTCAAGGTGTTGGTTTTGACCTTTAAAGCCCTATATGGCCGGGGGCCTGACTACTTGAGGGACCGCCTTTCCCCAGATGTTCCCCAGAGAACACTGAGGTCAGGGTCACAAAATCGCCTGACTCTCCCCGGTCCGAAAGACGTCAGATTGGCCACCACTAGAGCCAGGGCCTTCTCGGTGGCGGCTCCACTCAGGTGGAATGACATCAGGGCCCCTGCGGGACCTTTTGCAGTTCCGCAGGGCCTGTAAAACGGAGCTCTTCCACCAGGTGTTCGATGAGGAGCCACCACTGCTGAATGAGTCTAATGAATAAATGAAAATAAATATGAGTCATTGGAACTGAACATGCTATGGGCCTTATGACACAACACCGGATATTGCCTTCGGACCACTTTATAGGTTGCAAGGCTGGTTATTGCCTTCTCTTATTGTAAGACATCATAGGAACCTCCGTCTGTATGCACTAGCACTTTATATAATTGTTGCTTATGTGAATTTTATCACTCCTTATTGTTTTATTGTACTTTAATAATCTGTCTGTACGCCGCCTTGAGCCAGTTTGCCAGGCAAGGCGGGATATACATTGAAAGTAATAAATAAGTAATAACCAAGTTGAGAGGCAATAGATTCAGGACAGATAAAAGGAAATACTCCTTTACCCAACTACTAGCTGTGGTTACTAAAGCCAAGTGTAGTGGTTAAGAGCGCGGACTCTAATCTGGGAAAACCAAGTTTGATTCCCCACTCCTCCACATGCAGCTGCCAGTGTGACCTTGGGTCCGTCACAAGTTCTCTCCGAGCTGTTCTCTCAAGGGCAGTCCTCGAGAGAGCTCTCTCAGCCCCACCTACCTCCCAGGGTGTCCGTTGTGGGGAGGGGAAAGGAGATTGTCAGCCGCTCCGAGACTCCCTCGGGTAGTGAAGGGCCGGATATAAATCCAATCCCTTCTTCTTCTTCTTCTGAAGGGAACCTTCGTATTCAGAGGCAGCAAATCTCTGAATCTCAGAGCCAGATGGCAGCGCCAGGGAAAACTCAGCCTCTGTGCCTGCCCTAGAGGGCAACTGGTTGGCCACGGTGTGAAACAGGATGCCGGAGCTGGTGGCCACGGATCTGATCCAACAAGGCGGCTCTTAAGTGGCCCAGCGGCGCAAATGTGGCCGTCGGGTTTCTAGATTAAGCGGGTTGCGCAGCCTTTCTGCCCCGTTCTCTTAGCCCCTCTGATTGCTTCTTCCCCTGGCTCCCGGGCTGCCCTTGGCCGCACATAATCCGCGATGCTTTTTGATCTCCTGGCTTCTCATTAGCGCCGCGGCAAACCGGGGAGCTGAGCGGAATACCAATCACCGCCACCCCCGGTGCCGTGTCGTCTGCCAGTTTTGATACTCGAAAGGGGGGAGAGCCGGAGATGCACGGCAAGAGAATGACAAGTCGGGAGAATCCGCCGCCTCCCAGACGGAGCCGGCTGCAAAGGGCGGGGGATCGAGGAAGGGAAATGTTGAAAAAGCACCCGGCGGCGGGGGGGGGGGGCGTTCTTACCTATGTGAGCGTTTGCATTCAAATTTGAGAAAGGGAGCATTAGAAAATTATCTAGAACATTTTAAAAAAAAACATAAGTTTTATTAATTTTTTTCAGATGTAGCAATACAAAATAAAGTCAGATGTAATGTAACACAATGCATTTCAATCAATACCTTGGTATTTTAGGTATAATAACAGTATTAAGCAGGACTTAAGCAGGATAGCCACAAGGTATAGATAGGGACTCTGGGGCAAGTGATGCTCTGTCTTCTTGGTGCTTGGGGGGGGGGTCAACAGTGGGAGGCCTTCTAGTGTCCTGGCCCCACTGGTGGCCCTCCTGATGGCACCTGGTATTTCTGGCCACTGTGTGATACAGAGCGTTGGACTGGATGGGCCTTTGGCCTGATCCAACATTGGCGTCTCTTATGTTCTTATGTTCTTATGACTTTTTTTGTAGAAAAAGCCCAACAGGAACTCATTAGCATAATAGGCCACACCCAACAGTGGAAACTCATTAGCATATTAGGCCACACCCCTGGCAGTGCAGCTCGTTAGCATATTAGCCCACACTCCCATGGCTTGCCCCGGGAGCCCAGGCAAGCCGGCCCTTGGACAGGCCGGGGAGGCACGGGGAGGCATTTTAATGCCTCCCCGATCCTTTCATGGTTCCCCCGGCTGGCCGGCCTCGAAGTTGCCAGGAGGGGGGGGGTCGCTCTCCAGGCCTTCCCTCTGTAGCCACGCATGCAGAGGTTTTAGCTGTAGTGGGCGTGGCCAACTCTGAAGCCAGGCGGAACTCCGTTCCTGTGCGTTCCTGCCCAAAAATAGCCCTGGAATTAAGATTATCCATCAATTGGGTGCAAAAACCCTCCATTCTAGGTAAGGACATGCATTATATTATCTTTTTGCTACGCTAGTGCAATTCGTCACTGTAATGTGTATAACAAGTCTGATTTAATTATACAACATAATCTGGTATTTGGCTTCTCTCATCATTTCCCAAACAAATCTATTTACTGATATTTTCCCCAAAATCGGATACCATATTTTCAAAGGATTGTGTAACTCACATTCCGTTTGATTTTCAGTATAAAAAACTGGAAATTTTTCTAACATAAATACATTCCATACTTTGTGGTACCCTTGCTCGGGAGCGTTAGAACATAACCTGCTGGATCCGATCCAAAGCTCGCAGTGATAGCGAAATACAGCTTCCAGGTAGAGAGGCAGTACACCGGAATGGCAGATAGTGGGGAGCCAGCAATAGGGCAGGTCTCTCGCCTTTATACACCCGGTTCTGGGAGCTTCCGGAAAGCGTCTGGCTGGCTGCTGTCGGAGGCAGAATACCGGGCTAATCCGGCAAGAATCCCGCAAAGGTCCCGGGTCTTCCTAGAAAAGCAGCTGTGTTTACTGAGAGCCAATCTGGTGTGGTGGTTAGGAGCGCGGACTCTCATCCGGGAGAACCAGGTTTGATTCCCCACTCCTCCACATGCAGCTGCTGGTGTGACCTTGGGTCAGTCACAAGTTCTCTCGGAGCTGTTCTCTCAAGGGCAGTTCTCGGAAAGAGCTCTCTCGGCCCCAACTACCTGTCGTCTGTTGTGGGGAGGGGAAGGGAAAGGAGATTGTAAAGCACTCCGAGACTCGTTCAGGTAGTGAAGGGCGGGGTATAAATCCAATCTCCTCCTCCTCCTCCTCCTGCTGCAGTGGCCAGGTAGTTGAAACGTGGCATGAAAGCCTTCCCTTGTTGCTCCCACGGTGTTCATCTGGACTCAGTTGGAACACAGGGGGATCTTCTCTTCTGGCATGGCTGACAGTGGACATCAAGCCCCCTTCTGCTCGATGGGTTTTTATATTGTGAGGTTGAAATGGAGGAGAGGAGAAGGGCATAAGCTGCTTTTGGGTTCCCATTAAGGGAGAAAGGCTGGGGTATAAAGGAATCAATGAAATGAATAAATAAAAGCGGTATAAACCTAAGGGAACTTGGGTCCTCTCCAATGCCAGTGTGGTGTAGTGGTTAAGAGCGCGGACTCTAATCTGGGAGAACTGGGTTTGAGTCCCCACTCCTCCACACGCAGCTGCTGGTGTGACCTTGGGTCAGTCACAAGTTCTCTCGGAGCTGTTCTCTCAAGAGCAGTTGTCGAAAGAGCTCTCTCAGCCCCACCTACCTCCCAGGACGTCTGTTGTGGGGACGGGGAGGGAAAGGAGACTGTAAGCCGCTCTGAGACTCCAAGTGAAGGGCGGGGTATAAATCCAGTCTCCTCCTCCTCTTCTCATCTGCAAGAAGGATGGGTTTAGGCGAAGTCAGTTCTGTGCGGAGCCTAGCACTGACTGAACTGCCTGCTATATTGTAACAGCAGCAGCATCGACTAGGGCTCTCCTGAAACTGCTTTGGGCTCTCATGTTGGCACTCTGCACGTGCTCAGAAACACTGGCTTTAATGAGTCTCCGGAATGCACACTAGTGAATCTGGGATTAACGTGATCCTCTACTGATGTACTTCTCCTCTCTCTCTCTCTCTCTCTCTCTCTCTCTCTATCCTACCTCACAGGGCTGTTCTGAGGATAAAATCAGAAAAGAAGAGCTGTGCACTCCATAAGCTCCTTGGATGAAGCTCCAGGCTACGGCATCGGCCTCCCCCAGAACTCGCCTCTGACTTCCAACATCTCCGAATTCATCAGCCGATACAAGTCGGCCGGCTTCATGGACCTGCTGCACGACAAGTGGTACAAGATGGTACCCTGCGGGAAGCGTGTCTTTGCCGTCACGGAGGTACTGTGGCCCTCGAGGGTCTGGGGAGAGGAGCGCCCATGGATGGCTCTAGGGTCTTTTGGAGTGTCTTTGCCAAGCAGCCCAGGGGAAGGGGTGATTGGGCAAGCCAGATGGGTCTCTGGGCTCCTGGATGGTATCCCCCCCCCCCCAAACACACATGTACAGAAACTGCCACCATGTACCGGAACTAATGTTCCCTCTAAACTGTGGAGTCTTGTGAGCAAAGATTCTACTTTCTGAGCTACTGGCATTAAAATTGTGAGTGAGCGAACGGGCTGCTGCATCAGTTAGCTTGCTTTGGAGCCGACCTTCCTGAGCTAAGGCAAAAATGTGTGAGCCAGAGGCTAAAAAACTGTGAGCCAGCTCACACTCTCAGCTTAGAGGGAACACTGAGTCTGGAACTACAAAGGCATTTGGACAGGGGGTCCCCAACACAAAGGGAAGCGAGGCAGAAGAGGCACAGCTGGTTAAGAGAGCAGATCTGTGAGGCTCCGGGATTGGCAAGGTGCACAGAGCCAGTTTGGTGTAGTGGTTAGGAGCGCGGACTCTTAACCTGGGAGAACCGGGTTTGATTCCCCACTCCTCCCCATGCAGCTGCTGGTGTGTCCTTGGGTCAGTCACAAGTTCTCTCGGGAGCAGTCCTCAAAAGAGCTCTCTCAGCCCCACCTACCTCACAGGGTGCCTGTTGTGGGGAGGGGAAAGGAAAGGAGATTATAAGCCGCTCTGAGACTCCGAGTGAAGGGCAGGGTATAAATCCAACCTCCTCCTCCTCTTCTTCTTCTAAATGACATTTGCAGAGTGTGGTCCCCTTCTAGCAGGGGCGATGGATGTGTGAGCAGCAATCAAAGGCAGGCCAGTGAGACTTCCTAAATATTGTGTTTCCTTGCAGAGGAGACGTTCCCGCTGGGGGCTGCTCCACATCTTATTAGATGTGCAGGGGATCTGTGAGGGCCAGCTTGGTGGTGCGCTCGGCTCTGGGTGCAAGAGACAGGCAAACGGGGAAGAATTTTAGCTCTTGCTTCGAAGGGCGAGAGGGCCCAGATGTGTTGTGAAGTGTGGGGCAGGGGGAAATCGTACAGCTGTCTGGCAATAAAAGGGTCTCTTGTTATGTGCCGGCCTACTTCTGCGGAGGCGGGAGTGAGAGGCTGGTCTCTGGAATCCACAGTTGTCAAGGCCCTGGGACCCCCCCCCAAAAAAACAGTCCAAGCCCGGCAGGCAAAAAAGAGTGACTTGTTTGAATCTGCACCCTTGGGAGAGACCCAAGAGAGCCTCTAACAAATACCTTTTGCCACCTCTGGTAGCTCAGAAAATTCTCTGCGGAGGCTGCCTGAGCAAATTAGGAAGAACCGAAACTTCAGCGTCATCGTGCCTGGATTTCCTTTCAGTACTCCCCCCCCACACCCGAGATGCCGGTCGCTTTTCCATTCTGCCAGGCCTGAAAGGCAAAATACAGCTGCTTGCGCTTGCAGCAACGACAGGCATGGCTCCATTACAGGCCTGCATCCGGTGCCTGGCTTCCCGGTGGAAGGAGGCAATCAGAAAGCCAGCGTGGTTAAGAGGGACAGACTCTAAGCTGGAGAACCAGGCTCAATTCCACACTCTTCCGCATGAAACCAGCTGGGTGACCTTGGGTCAGTCACAGCTCTTTCAGAGCTCTCGCAGCCCCCCAGAATAAGCCTGGCGCACCACCTAGTGGTGCATAATGCTAAAGAGTTAGAACTATGATTTGCCAGACAAGCTTTGGATCTCCTGGCTGTACTACACACAATGCCGTACGATAATTGTTGTTATTAGGCAATCAACCCCAGCCGCAAGCTACTCGCCACCGTCACAGAGGGGCATATCGAGGGGGCACCATCACTGGATAGGGGGAGAAGTCATGCCCCGGATCAAAGGGTGGGGAGCAATGCTCCCTCTAAGCAGTGGAGTCTTGTGAGCAGAAATTCTACTTGGTGAGCCCCTGGCATTAAAGTTGTGAGCGAGCGATTTGGCTGCTGCATCAATTAGTTTGCTCTGGAGCCCTCCTTCCTGAGCTAAGGCAAAAATGTGTGAGCTGGAGGCTAAAAAACGGTGAGCTAGCTCACACTAACTCAGCTTAGAGGGAACACTGGTGGGGAGGCAGAAGAGGTTATGGGGCAAAGGGGAACACAAGGAAAGAATCTAAAGCAAGGGTGTCGAACTCATTTGTTATGAGGGCTGGATCTGACATAAATGAGACCTTGTCGGGCCAGGCTGTGTGTGTCATAAAATGTAATGCCAGGTAGCGGAGAGATAAACTTCATAAAGGACACAAAGAGGGGGTTTTTTACTTAAAATAAGAACATGCTTAAAACAGCACTCTTGCAATATTTTGTTTATTTAACAGCGTCTGATAACTGGCACCCCTTGCTCTGAATGATTGCATCAAAATGTCTGTGCTGTTGCAATCTTGAGTATGCTGTTCAGGTGTGTACCTGTAAGCTGCAAACCTACTTTTGATTTATTGACATTCGCCACGGAAATCTCATGCTCAGAGTTCTGAGTCGAGGACCCAGGTTGAAACATGAAATGGCTGAGTGATTAAGAGAGCCTGGCGAAGCAAGCGATGATGCAGCAGCAGCAGCAGAACTGGAAGCAGGAGATGGCCAGTTCCACTGCGAGCCTGATAGAAGCCCTCTGGGGGCCTGATTTGGCCCACAGGCCGCATGTTTGACACCCCTGATCTAAAGGGCCAGGAGCCAATCCTTGACAGCAGTCAACTGGTTTCAGAAGATAGTGGGGTTTGAGGAGGGGGCAGGAGGTGGGTCTCAGCAGCCCCCATGAGAGAGAATTTCGGGAATAAAGGGTAGCAGCCCCAACCCCCATAGGTCATCGCAATTCTGTCCTTTCCCCTCTTCCTGCCTAGACCCTACAGATGGGGATCTACCACTTCTCCGGGCTCTTTGTCCTGCTTTGTATCGGTCTCTGTGGCTCGCTGCTCACCTCCTTGGGGGAGCACATCTTTTTCCGCCTCATCCTGCCCCGCATCCGGCGCAAGAAGAAGTTCAACTACTGGCTCCATACCAGCCAGGTAAGATCAACAGGCAGGTCTCTGTCACTCCCTTAGTCCTGCATTAGAGATGTTCAAATTAATCCTGGGAGGATGGGTTTTTTTTACAAAATGCAAAATTTTGCTAACTTTTATTTTCTAAACCTCAGGTTTAAAAAGAAATGCAGCAGGTTTCTAGCCCTTTCTAGAGCCAGTTTGGTGTAGTGGTTAAGTGCGCGGACTCTAATCTGGGAGGACCGGGTTTGATTCCCCACTCCTCCACTCGCAGCTGCTGGATGACCTTGGGCAAGCAATAGTTCTGTCAGAGCTGTCCTTGAAAGGGTAGTCCTCTGAAAGCTCTCTCAGCCCCACCTGCCTCACAGGGTGTCTGTTGTGGGGAGGGGAAGGGGAAAGCGTTTGCGAGCCGCTCTGAGAGTCCAAGTGAAGGGGGGAGGTATAAATCCAATCTCATTCTTCTTAACGATTCAGCAATTACATTCAAGGCTGCTATGGACATGATTGCTGTTTGTAGTTACTGGGTTATTGGTGTCCAGTGGCATTCTGGAAGAAGTAAAAGTTTAGCTGGTCTCTTCCTTTCCCCCTACGGAATTGCCCAGAGTTTCAAATAGGGTTGCTAACTTTCTAATGGGCCCTGGAAATTTCCTGGAATTTCCAGACTACAGAGATCAGTTCCCCTGGAGACAATGGCTGCTTTGGAGGACGGACTCTATGGCACTGGACCCCACTGAAGGCCTTTCCCTCCCCTCCCCATTTTATACACGTGAATCTCCAGGAATTAACAAACGGAGAGCTGACAACCCCTAGGCCAAGATCATCAGCTGAAGTGCTGCTCTACACGAAAGTCAGTTTGGTGTAATGGCTAGGAGCGCAGATTCTAATCTGCGAGTACCGGGTTTGAGTCCCCACTCCTCCACATGCAGCTGCTGGTGTGACCTTGGGTCAGTCACAAGTTCTTTCAGAGCTGTTCTCGGAAGGGCAGTTCTCGAGAGAGCTCTCTCAGCCCCACCTCCCTCACAAGGGTGTCTGTTGTGGGGAGGGGAAGGGAAAGGAGGTTGTAAGCCGCTCTGAGACTCGTTCGGGTAGTGAAGGGAGGGGTACAAATCCAATCTCCTCCTCCTCTTCTCCTCCTTCTCCTTTTTCTTCTTCTCTCTCAGCTGCTGGTGTGACCTTGGGTCAGTCACAAGTTTTCTCTGAGCTGTTCTCTCAAGGGCCGTTCTCGAGAGAGCTCTCTCAGCCCCACCTGCCTCACAGGGTGTCTGTTGTGGGGAGGGGAAGGGAAAGGAGATTGTAAACCACTCTGAGACTCATTCCGGTAGTGAAGGGCGGGGTACAAATCCAATCTCCTCCTCCTCCTCCTCTTCTTCTTCTTCACCTGTGATGGAATTGACAACCACATGCAACAGAACATTTCCCTGCATCAGTTCCCCTGGCGCCTGTGCTTTTGTGTTTCAGGCACAGAGCAAAAGCATTTTTATTCTCTTATGCCTTTGGTGGCAAATCGCAGGGAACTGCTTTGTAAAATGAGGGAGTCCCCTCCCCCCACTTTGGCAGAATGTGCACGGTGGTTACAAAAGCAATCTGCGTGCGCCCAGAGACCCTCCTTTGCGGTACTGGATTCCAAACCCTGCCTTCTTTTTTTATATATGTGTGCCTATACCAGAAAATACACCGAGCTTTAAATATGAGTTTGGAGGAACAGAGGATCAAGAGGCGAAATCTGGAAAAAAAGTAAGTTGCACTCATGCCACCAGCTTGCTGACTCGGCCTTTTTTATTGCTGCTCTCGCAATAAAACCTTGAAATGTGCATGCGTTTATGTCGCTCAAAGGAATCTGCCGCTAATGATGATGTGACGGAGGTGATTGCTTTTCAGGTAGGGAGAGAATATAAATATCTTCGGGGGGGAATGTCAGCGCGTGCTGAACGATATTAGATCATCGGCTACTGATTGGATAAATGATACCTGGCTTCTCAGGGCCCGGGAGAACGGAAGATAGCTTTAGGGGTAAATATACAATTAGCTAAAACCAATAAGCAAAATTTAGAGCAGGTTAATACTAAAAAAAAAAAATGGCTAGCAGAGTTAAAAAACCAACCCCATACCCTAATGAAAAAGGCAGCAGATTGGAATATATTTCTATTTATTTATTAAAACACATTTACTCCACTTGTCCTCACGGGTCAGTGCGGCTTGCAGTGATGGTTTAAAAACGTTTCCAATTAAAACCAAGATAACAGACCCCAAATCTCTTCTCCCCCCCCCCCCTTGAAAACCTTTACAGCATTTGTCGGGAGAAGTTTACATACCCTCCTCTTGGAAACATTATCTGAAATGGATCTGAAGATCAAAAACACAGAAAGTCTGTCGAACAAAATAGGAACATTCCTATTATAATAAATTTATTAGTTAAGAATAAATGCTGGATTTCTAGTTGCAAGGTTGCTCAACAGTATACTAATATGGAAGTATACTTAATCTGTTGTCATATCACTATAATCACTCAAAAGGCTGCTTTCACTCATCCAGAGAGTTATCATCACAGCCCAGAAGATTATTGGCTGCCCTCTCCCGTTCCTGGAGGAATTGTATAGTTTGGTGTAGTGGTTAAGTGCGCGGACTCTAATCTGGGAGAACCGGGTTTGATTCCCTACTCCTCCACTTGCACCTGCTGATGTGACCTTGGGTCAGTCACAAGCTCTGGCACAGCTGTCCTTGAAAAAAAGCAGTTTGTGTCAGAGTCCTCTCAGCCCCACCCACCTCACAGGGTGTCTGTTGTGGGGAGGGGAAGGGAAAGGCGTTTGTAAGCCGCTCTGAGACACCGTTGGGTAGTGAAGGGTGGGGTATAAATCCAATCTCTTCTTCTTCTCGATGTTTGAAAAAAGCAAAGAACATTCTGCAGGATTTGTCACACCCTGAACACTCCCTGTTTGAACTGCTGCCTTCGGGTAGAAGATATAGGACAATTAAAACAAGGACGAACAGATTAAAAAATAGTTTTTAATCGAGAGCTATTATTGCTTTAAATGCTGTATGAAATTGGAATTTGGGTGACATTGGTGGTTTAATACAATGACAATAAAGTATATTATTATTATTATTATTATTATTATTATGCTCTTCGACTCAAGAATGTTGTTTACAATATTGTTCAATGATTTTTCTTAGTAATACATTCAAGAATTGCAATTACTTGATTCTGTTTGCATCATAAGCAACCACAATGAAAAGTTTCCTGCTCATGTTGTTATGTACGTTACAGTCATCGGATTTCAATAAAATATTAAGTAATAATTTTTTAAAAGCCTTTGCAGAAGAAATTCTTGCGGGGCTGCGCCTTTAAGAAAGGGGGCGGAGCCCCTAAAAGCCCCCACCGTGGCTACGGCCCGTTAGTTAACACTTATGTGGGTTGCATGCTTTCGGGGGGAGGGTCAAGTGGCAGGACTGACGCTCCCCTCTCCCCCCCTGCCCCAAGGTGCAACATCGAGAAGAGTCAGGAAGAGCCGGAGGAGCCGCCGGCCAGCCAGCCCAGCTGGAACAACCTCCGCCGCGCCACGGTGAAGAAGGAGGACAAGCGGGTGCACTTCAACATTGAGAATCTGCCGGACGAGGCATCCGAGGACGAGCGGGAGGCGCCGGTCTGGCACTGCATGAACGGACAGGACCCCCAGCAGGCCAGCAAGGAGGCCCAGGAGAAGGAGCTGGAGGAACTGGAGGGCAGAATCGCGGACATGCGGGAGCAGCTCCGGGCCGCGCTGGTGCGGCATCTGATGCTGCCCCTGGGGCCGCCGCCCCCCAAAGCCCCCCGACTGCCCCCTGCCTTGAAGGCCCTGATCAAGGAGAGCAAGGAAGAGAGGTGATGGGGCCAAGGGGCCTCCCCGCTTTGGGGGGGCGAGCAGAGTCCGGTCTCGACACAAGGGATGGGGCTGCCACCAGTTTGCACATTTGACGGTGAACGAGGCAGACGCAGGACCGGGCAAGCAGGAGTGGAGGGGTCGGGTTATGTCGTGGGCCTCCCCCCCCCCTTACCCTGCTTCCTCAGCCAGATTCTGTCCGAGCCGGCGAGTGTTCGGGAAGGGGGGTAGGCGGGGCTCCAGGATCTAGGAGGAGGTGCTGGGAACGTCCTTCAGTCTCCTGGCCCCTCCAGAACCGGAGAGGCTAACTTGGTCCGGGGCGAGCCTGTGTCTTTTGGGGAGGGTGAAGGGCAGGACCTGTGCTTTGCCTGCAGGCTGGGGCTCCTCCACCTCCGGTTCAAGAATCTCAAGCGCTTGGGGGGTGGGGGGTGGAGAAAGGCCCTCTCCCTCCTTCCATGAGACACCAAAAGGGGTAAGGGCGAGCCAAGTTGGGCCAAGGGTGCACAGCCAGAGGCTCTTTTAGAAGAGCATCTGCACCACATGTGGGATGTCTCTGGTTCGATCCCCACCAACTCTGGTTAGAGGGATCTCCAGTGCTGGGAAGCAGCGTTCCCTGCTTGAGATCCTGGACAACTCTGGCCAGTTGGTGTAAGCAGTCGGAAGTAGGGAAGTCTGGCTCCGGAGAAGGCAGCGTTGGGGGGAGGCCAGTAGTCCAGAGCTCAGCATGTAGGGGCTTAATGCTGGTTCTTAGGTAGTGACTGCTGGGAAAGCCTTTCCTTTGGCTGGGGGGGCCTTGCACAACCAGAGGACTCCAGGGGCGGCAGCGGGACACCGCTATCCAAGGCCGGACTTTGCACAAGGGAGCTGCAATTCCATACCTTTCTTTCCCGGTCAATATCCAGACCTGTCTGCACTTTTTTAAAAAAAATTCATTTATTTGGTGCTAGGCTAAGTTGGTGGCTTTGCCGGCTAGTTTTCATCGACTGTTCCAAAACTGGCAGCAACTGCTGCTGCCTTCCCTGTGGTACCTTTAGCATGCCGGTTATAGGGTTGGCGCTGGTGAGCAGCTCCACCATGATTGACAGTCCTGAGGGCCAGTCAGAAGGCTCTCTAGCACCGCTCCCACACCCCAGGATTGCCATGACGCCCCACCCGCTTACGCTCACAAAAAGAGCCCTCCGATCTGGTCCTTAACCGCCAATGGCCATCTCGGGGGGGGGGGGTGGACAGTTTGAGGGCAGCCCCTCCCCTAGTGGGGAGGGAACACTTGTCATTCAACCAAAATGTGGCTGCGGCCTGCTGGTTCTTGGAGGTCCAGGTTGGTTTTTTGGCCAGACCTTGGCGGCTAAGGTTGATCTTGGCCAGTGTTCCTTCTAAGCTGAGTTAGCTCGCAGTTTTTTAGCCTCCAGCTCACAGATTTTTGTCTTAGCTCAGGAAGGCCAGCTCCAGAGCAAACTGATCACTCGCTCACAACTTTAAGGCCAGTAGCTCACAAAGTAGAATTTTTACTCACAAGACTCCACAGCTTAGAGGGAACATTGATTGGCTACTCCTTGCAGAGTTTCAGCAAAATATAGGTCAAGTTAATGGGATAAGGGCCGGAGAGACTTGTTTGGACCGTTGTTTTGATCAGGTTCTAGGAAGTCCTGGAAAAGTCTAGGAAGTCTAGGAAAAGGCCAAGCAGAAGAACTCGGCAAGATCAGTTTCTGGGGGGAAAATGGTCTTGGTTTTCAACCCCCCTCTCCCTAAAACTGATCCTCAGGGCATAAAATGCCTACGGGGTCGCCGTAAGTCAGCTGTGACCCGATGGCAAAAAATATTCTTCTGCTTGGCCTTTTGACCAGCAGAGTCCTGCTCGAGTCCATTTTACAGACTGACAACTGAGGAGCTCTGCCCTCCCCATTGTGTTCCGCTCTGTTGCTCCAAACCAAGAGATGCCCGCGTTTTTTTAAAAGAGGTAAACCCACAGCAGTCAGGCCTCTGGCCATGAAACCTGGTTGGGGCAAGCTGTCCCTTGCAGGCTTCACGGGCGGAACGTTCAGGGATTTGCACGGGGCCGGGTGGGCAAGTTGGCGGCGGGACTTGCAGCCGAGGACCATTCTGTGAAAACCCGATAGAGCCACGATCAGCGGAGACGAAAGGGCAGGACCCCTCCACAAGGCATAGTCAAGACCTGCAGAGATAACGTATTGCAGAATCCAAACAGTCTTTGGGACATCCGTCCCGGTCAAATAGTTTTCCAAAAGAGCACGAGGTCTGATTTTGTCCCGCGCTTGCCTTATTGATTTTAACTGCATCCTCCGCCACTGCCCATTAGGAGCCTTTCTCTTCGCGGGCAAATCCAACCCGGCGGTGTGACTCTTAAGCATAAATAAGAGCCAGGTGACGTTGGGACAGAAGTAGGGTTGGCCGGCAATGCTCCCTTCTGAGCTGTGGAGTCTTGTGAGCAAAAATTCTACTTTGGGAGCTCCTGGCATTGAAGTTGTGAGCGAGCGATTTGGCTCCTGCATCCATCAGTTTGCTCTGGAGCCCTCCTTCCTGGGCTAAGGCAAAAACCTGTGAGCCGGAGGCTAAAAAACGGTGAGCTAGCTCACGCTCACTCGGCTTAGAGGGAACACTGGTGGCCAGTCTTCTGGTCTATTGTAGTTGGTATCAAGGCTCTTTTTGTAGCAGGGACTCCTCTATATATTAGGCGACACACCCCTAACGTAGCCAATCCTCCAAGAGCTTACAGTAGCCCCTGTAAGAAGAGCTCTGTAAGCTCTTGGAGGATTGGCTACATTGGGGGGGGGTGTTGCCTAATATGCAAAGGAGTCCCTGCTACAAAAAGAGCCTTGCTTGGTCTCCAGGTTAGAGAGATCAGTTCCTCTGCAGGAGATGACTGTTCCGGAGGATGGATTGCATGGCCTTGTACCCTGTTGAGGTTCCCCCCCAAAAAAATCTCGGGGTATTTCCCAACCCAGAGCAGGGAACCCTAACCAACAAAGAACGCTCCCCCGCTGTTGTTTTTAAAAACTTAACTAGGGTTACCAGATATCTTTTTTTTGGTGTCCACCCTCTTCTGGGCTCTTTAAAAAAATGTCCTGTTTTGGGGTTGGAAGACTATTAGGAATGTTCCTAATTAGCAGTTCCTAATTAGTAGCAATTATCAAAATTTAAATAGTAGGGGTATAGCGATCACCAATGCTCCCTCTAAGCTGTGGCGTCTTGTGAGCAAAAGTTTACTTTGTGAGCCACTGGCATTAAAGTGGCGAGCGAGCGATTTGGCTGCTGCATCAATTCATTTGCCCTGGAGCCCTCCTTCCGGAGCGAAGGTAAAAACGTGTGAGCCGGAGGCTAAAAAACTCTGAGCTAGCTCACACTAAGTCAGCTTAGAGGGAACACTGATCACTTGTTCGAAGGAGTCAGTCGGGACGCGGGACATATACGTCCTCTTGTTTGCTTTCCAAAATACAGTAACCCTAACTTAACTACCTTGAAAACTTGTCTCAGCAAAGCAGGGAATCAGGATTCTGCACGGCTCGAAGGGGGAGATGGATGCCGCTGGCCACGTAAAGTGCTTCTGATGCCCCTAGCTGTGTTTGGATTGGGTGAGCCCCACTCAGTTACAAAGCGCAGCTTGAAGCAGTTGGCCCCCAACGTGGCACAAGCCTCATCTTCTCCTTTTCAAAAGCACTTTGGCTGCGCGCGGGGGGGGTGGTC